ACAACTTTACAGAAGGGCATGGAGGAAAGACCCACAATCTGGTGCTGACTACAGAATTCAGTTTTCCTGAGATCCAGCTCTGTCACTCTTTTATTTGAGGGAAACCCGAGTTTCTAGCCCTGACAATACAATGGCAAGACTTGAAAACAGGTGAGCAATCTCAGAAGACACAGGGGTGGCTGAATCAGATCTGCATATGGGGACAGGTCTGTGATGTGTGTGGAGAAGGGCTGATTTTCAACACCCTGCTTAGCTCCTTACCTTTCTGCATGGCAAGTAGCATCAGAATAAATTATTCTAATATGTTTGATTTGCATAATTTTTGCAGCTTGTGAAGCAGCATGGAATGTTTTTAAATAGATCCTATACAGACTTAGATGTTTTGCTTTAACTATAAATAGTGGGAATGGAATAGTGGAAAATTGGAACGGAAGCACAAGTCGGGGCACAACAGATTTGAACGCTGAGTAGGGGCAGTGGCATTAATTGTAATGGGGTGGGGGTTCTATTCCAAACGCACAAGCCTGCATTAATTCCCAGGGACTTCTTAAAGGTTGCAGCAAGAGAGCAAAATCCGGGAAAGAATGAGATACGGCTGCCCTTAACTGTTTCCTTTCTTTATTAGGATACACAAAATAGTTATCATTTCTCGTGTCATACATAAATGAAGATTATCGAGGCTATCTTCTCTTGTTACAAAGCCTCTCAGTCCAGCAAAACATAGTATTCTTTGAAGCATTGTCCATACAGTGCCTACTACGAGATGAAGGTTAAATAATCTTACCAGTTTCTAAGAGTAAAACAACAAACAGAGTGAGTTGGCCAGATCTGGATTTCTTGGAGCAGTCAAGGTGGGTGGGCTTTCAGCAGAGATGGAGAACTGGCAGAAACTCAAGAGGGTGAAGAGAAAACATCCCCTCTTACCCCGTGCGTCATCTTTTATACACATCTGAGGTGTGATCCCCCGCCCCTTAACTGTGTCATGTTAAACTGATATGCAAGCAAAGGACAAATCCTTCTTTACAGGGTGAGTCGTAGATACCTTTCTGATTTATTATTCTACTATGTACAACATCCCTGACCTGGATAGCACAGGCTAGCTTGATCTTGTCAGATCTCGGACGCTAAGAAGGGTTGGCCCTGGCTAGTACTTGGATGGGAGACCTCCAAGGAATACCAGGGTCGTGACGTGGAGGCAGCCAATGGCAAACCACCCCTGAATGTCCCTGGCCTTGAGAAACCTACTGGGTCACCATAACTCAGCTGTGACTTGACGGCAAAAAAAAAAGTATAACATTCTAGAAGATTCTGACCAAAATAGACATCCCCAAATTATTGCGTCCTCTGTTTGCATTCTGACAACTCATTTCATTATCTTTCTCACCCCCTCCCCATATCCTGATCATGCCTTAAAAACACAGTCAGTGATACCTCCCCTGGGCTAACAACACACAGAGTTCAAGAAGCTTCCAATCGGCTGATCTGGGAGAGAGTTCCAGCCAATTATTATTTTTTATTTAACCCCCATCTGGTTCCAATCAACTGGTGCCTCTCAGGATGGCAATATCCTTCCCTGGTTTACCATTTGAGCTGACCCAGACCAGTCAGCATCTTTCCAGATGTAAGAAAAATGCCTCTTGAGTCATGACTTGCATGTAGCAAGGCCTAGATGCATCAGATGAAATGTCACAGAGGAGACACAAAGAAATTGGAGAGGAGCCATGGCTCAGTGAAAGAGCATTTGCTTTGTATGCAGAAGGTCCCACGTTCCATTTCTGGCACCACCAGTTAAAAAAGAGGCGAAAGACCCCTGAACAGCTGTGGCCAGGCAGAGGAGACCAGGGCCGGCTCACCCACTAGGCGAACTAGGCATTTGCCTAGAGTGCTGGGCCCTGGATGGGGCGCCGAGCTGTGCCTCCCCACCACCACCAAAAGCCCGCAAGCAGCTCTCCTAGTGTCAGCACTTCGCTAATTGGGGAGAGGCATCCGGTGAGCATCTCCCGCCTGGAGACAGGATCCCCCCCCTACCAAACTGCCTTCGGAAGCAGAGCACGAGAGAAATCTCTCTTCCATCTTGGAGAGCGGTGCAGGAACATGTGGGGCGTGCTCGCTGGGTCTGACAGCTGTGGGGGGGAGTGGTGGCGGCAGTAGCAAAAGGGTG